TTCATTATTTATTTGGGCTTGACCCTCTTTAAGCATCCCTAGTGGAGTCCCCATCTGGTGTAACCCAAAAATTCTGATCTTACGACCAATGGTTTGGACTACCTTTTGAAAAATCTTATTAACTAGGAAATGCCTGGAAACCAGACTAATCCTTAATTAATGATTTTGAAAAATGAGTTCATGGAGTCACCACCAATGTTTTACTCAAAACATTGGAAAACAAAAAGATTTGAAATCAAAATAAAGGTCTTCATAGCCAAAATTGGGTTCAGAGGTCGATTACGTGTAAGGAAGGTATTAGGCACCCCTACAATGCCCTAAATTGGTACCTTATGATGAAATTAACATAATAATAAATAATATTTTTAAATATCTTATCCCCTTTTATTATTTAATATTATTTACATGACGAAAAATAAAGAATAATAAATGAAATAATAATAAATAAAATAATTAAAAGAATAAATAAAGGAGAAGAATTTAGAACCTCCAAAGCAAGCCTTTTATAAGGAAATCTTTCCAAATGCGTGCGGGGCACGTTTTGGGAGCCCTTCGTTCTACAAAAACCTCACTATCACTCAAAGGTTTATATAGAGAGGGGGAAGCTTTGCAGCCTCCTTTTTTTTTAATCCATTGGCCAGAGAGTTTCTTATATAGCCAACTAGGAGACAAAAGCATAAGAGAGTTATCCAATATTGGACTAAATTTTATAAAAGTACAATCTTTTCATAGGCACCATGCAGGACCTCTAGAGTATTCGTTAACCGTCGGATCGTGCTGGGTATTTTGTGGTATCTTCAAAATATATTTATCTTCAATTTCAATAGTTGGATCGTTGCAATTAGGTCTATAGTGACAGATACTATCATAATAAAAATGCTATCTGGTACAGGATTCATATTTTCCAGCTGCAATGCGAGGCCTCTAGAGAAATAATTAATCATTGGATCATGCTAAATATTTGATGATATCTTCTTAATACATTGTTCTGTAATTACAACGGTCGGATCATGAAAATTAGGTCTTTAGAGGGAGATATTATCAGAACAAAAATGTTGTTCAATGCAAAATCTTCTGGAAAGCAGAACGGGCCGTTCCAATATTGGGAATGACCCTTTCCAATTTGGGAACGACTTTTCCGTGCCCCAGATCCATTTTTTTTGTTTTTTGGGCCTTTCGGAGCCATCTTGGCCCGTTTAGGTACTTTATTGGGTCCTTAGGGGCTGTACGTACTATTTTTTTTCAGCTGCAGTGCAAAACTTCTAGAGAACTCGTTAACCGTTGGTTCATGCTGGAATTTTGATGATATCTTCTAAATACATTGATCTTTAATCCTAACGGTTGGATTGTCTAAATTAGTTCTGTAACGAGGGATATTATCATAACACAGTTGTTGTCCAACGCGCTGGGTCCCTCAAAGGTTGTTTGTCTCGCTCTAGTAGACCTTTGTCCTTGGTTTGGGTACCTCGGACGAAATTGGGTGTCTACACTACATGGCGAGATAGAGTGTGATGTTTCTCACTCCCTTTGCTTTTGCTTGTTGTTGCTCTTGTGGTTTCTACAAGTGATGATCAACATAATGTTGAGATATGCATGGTTGATGAGATTTAAGATTCATGTTGGATTGCTATGATAAGACATATGTATGATATCGAGGTGTAGTTAGAACTAATTTATGATATTATTTTGTTGATCTAATTTGGAGATACTAGTTTTATTTCCTAGTGTTCTTACCGGAATTTGGTCGTAGGGATGATTCGTCCAGTAAGATCGGTGAGCCTCCTTCACTGATACGTTGATGCTCCAAGATGGGGGAGGTACCTGCAAAAGAGACTCCGATGCCAAAGTTAGGGTTTGTATGAATAATAGTCTCGTATATATAATGCACGTACCTTGGACTAGTTTAGGTTTTCCTTGGGCTTTGGGCCTGAGATAAGATATGTTATGATATTATATAATAATAATATGATTGAGTGAGGGAGCCCGTCTAGGGCGGGATCCCATGGATTCAGTTGCAATTTACTCAAATGCCGAGCTGATGTCGTCCAACTCGTGTTCGAGGTCGCCTTGCGTGGCCAATCTGGGATGGGAGCCCGGATTCGAAGTACGGATAGTACACTCGCCCCCCGAGCTCTAAGGACCGTAGGTCGAGGAGTTAAGACCGGGTTCGTTGGAGGGAAGTGGCTTTTCGCGTACGCTGTCTGAGGAGGTGCCACGTGTCACGACTGTTCATTTCCCGGAAACGTGCAAGTGGCGCGTTAAGGGAAATGACAGTTATGCAATGATGGTTTTGCAATGAATGTGTTGTCAGGTGTGCCCCTTGGTTGACATATGTCGCAACGGTTTTGAATTTGGGGGAGAATTTTTTTCCTTTTCTCCCTCTCGCGCCTCTTCGGCTCTTTCACTTTGCTCTTTTCCATTCTTGTGGCTTCTTGTGCACGCTGTTGCTCTCATTTTTCTGCTTGTCTTCCGTCTCCGTCTTCTCCGTTTCTGCCGCCGTTTCCGGTAACCCAGTCACTATTAGGGTTGATTTTTGAGGGAGAGTACCAGGTACTTATTTTCTACATTCTTCTTTTTCCTTCTTCCCCAACCTTCTTTAAGTCTTTCTTGTCTTTTTCATGGCTGGGGGAAGTGGTGCCGGTTCTTCTGCGCCTTCTCGGGCCAAGGCGCATGGTAAGGCGGTGGCTACCGGGAAGGTCGCCGCCGAAAAGAGGGAT